GCTGTAGTTTCACTTCTGACATCAGGAGCCATGAAACAGTGAGTAAGAACTAAACTGCTTTGCTTGAGCAGTGCAGTTCCTTTGGCTGCAGGTCGATGGCCTGAGCCATGTCTCCAACACAAAGCATGAAGGAGGGAAAATCCAAATATCTTCTATCCATGTTTTAGTAGCATTAAGTTAAAAGGCCTTCCAAACTGCGTATAACAAAAAGAACAGTAAGGAAAATTGCCACCTGGGCACTACTAGAGAAATGTCCCAGCTGTTACTTTAGAGTCCAAAGCTAAGTTTTACTGGAGTGAATTTATGACTGCTCATTATTTAACTTAGTCTAGGATCATAATTACAGATGGTACTCCAAGGCGAAATCCCACTGATGGGAAACAGCATCATTTGAGACTCCAGCAAAGAGTAATCAGACACCTTTGGGGAAGTAATCAGGCATCTGTGAAAGAAAACTCTGATGTCAAGAGCCCCTCACATGGGATGCTTGTTTAAGTGTTGTAAGGCTTGCAGCACGTTTAATGAGACAGAAAGGTTAAAGGTGGGTTGGGTTTTTTTTCAGTGAAAAAAAAACAAACATAAAGAGAAAGAAATAACATTTGATGCAATCAGCAGCAAAATAAAACAGGCAAGTACTGTTGCACATGGGGTACTTCCTGAAACAAGGAAATGAAACACCTTTTCTTCCTGAGTTTCCACACCTACACATTTACTGAAGCAGGTTGTGTTTTGTAAATACACCTCTGCTTGATGGGACAACATGTAAAAATAGTAAGGTTCATGCAGACTTAGAGCGTTAAACTGGATGGACTTTCATGTAAGAATTTTGTTTAGTTGCCCCTAAAGAGCAACATATGCTATCAAAGCTGTAAATAATTAGCAATCCCTCTAGCAGAGCTGCTTGAAAGCAGCCCAGGAGCTGCAGGAGCACAATATATGATGTAACAGAGCAACACAGCCCTGAGCCACAGAGGACAGGTCAGAGGAGAAAGGATGCAATTTTAACAGAGCTGACCATGTGCAAAAAGTCAAACACTACTGTTGTCACTGATACTTACAATATCTGATTAATATTTTACAAAGCATTCCTTGTTTAGTATGTCTGTACAGAGAACCTCTAACTTTCCAAAACTTTACATAAATCAGTACTGTAGCACGGGTGAGCCCTCTTGTTAAATTTTACAGGCCTGATGATCTGCCTGATTTAACAGTATGACCCAAGAGCATGATCCACTGTATACCTGGGATCTCTGAAAGTTTCATCTTCTTAAGAAATATCATTGTACAGTGCTTTATTATCAATCCACCAGTTGCTACAATTACATAGCTTAACAGTGTTTAACCTGAATGGTATATTTCTGAAATAAGATCTTTAAAGATCATCTGTATGGCTTCTTGAAATAGCTCTAGAGTCAACTTAAGGAATTAAGCTCAGCTCATGGCCTCTGATTCAGCAAAGGTCCTATGCATATGTTTTTATTCCAGGAATACAAGCAGCCCTCAAGAGAACTGTTTTAAATCAGCTTTTGCCAACAGGAGGAAGGAATGAGATAATGAAATCAAGGAAAACTCTTCTTGCTAAACTTGACACAAAAGAAAATCTGGAGTTTTCACTTCTAAGCAAAAAATTACCCCTATTCCAAATTAGCTAAAGTATTTTTTCACCATCTTGTATTCTGATGATTGAAAACACTGCCCCTCTCTTCATTGCCTCTCTAAAGTTTAAAAAAAGAGGAGGGAGAGGAGAGTAACTGCAAAACAAAAGGCTGGTAACGTTCATACTGCTTAACAAACTGGATCCAAATGCACTGACAGTTCTGGTTGACCTAAAATAGCCTTTCTCAGAAGACATTTTGTTTACCAAATGCCACCACTTTCAGGGTTTTGGTAAGGAAATACTCAGAGGACTGACATAAAGTGAGAAATAGTTTTTCTCCAGTGTATCTGCAGGTTATGCTACTGGTCACAGCTCTGTGACCTGAGATAGCTTTGATAGCTGGAAGAAAAGACATTCCTGTTTGCTGCCAAACTGTTCAGGATAGCACATTTGCCAATGGACAACTGCAGAGCTGCATCACTTTGTGCTGATCTGAAATTCCCTATTGACTAGGGAATTCTGAAAATTATTCTGAACATTATGCAAATTGTTCTGGGCACATTTTCCTCCAAAATAAGAAAGGCTTACATAATGAACACTACAGTGTTTTCCAGATTAGCAACACTGCCCACTGACTTAATAGAGTGTGACAGAGGAAACAAATTGCAAAAATTCACACCGACAAACAAACCCAAACTTCCCCTCCAGAGCTGAAGACCATCACAAACCATATCACCTTGCAGCAAGTAAAAGACACATTTTCGTGACCTTGCCTTTACAACACACGAATCAAGAACAGGGAGGGCAGAGAAGAGCCAACATGTGACAGCCAGTGGTCACATTGCTTAATGCAATGTGGAAAGCACTGAGGTGCAACCATGAGGTATGCAGAAGAATCTGCATAAAATAAATTTGTTCTGCTAACCCTATACTCTTACACTTGCATGCTAGACCGTCTGGCTGGAAAGCACTCCGTGCACTTGGCTTCTTGGTACTTTTGCATGAATGACACTATATAAAGAGGTACTGTATTTACTAGCTGAATAAACAATAGGTTTTGCTTTCACTCAAGTATTATGACTCTAACTCATTTCATTTATATGTCAGTAGTTCAGAATGTGCAGTGGACCAGGCACATCATCACTGTTCACCTTTGTCAAAGAAGGGGCCAGAAACATCCACGTTGTTATATCTCTGGAACAGCTATATCTCATCCCTGTAACCTTTGGAGGATATACTACAATCCATTTTGTGTTAGCAACACTGCAGCAACCTATTTATTTATAAGTTCATGAAAAAAATGCACCTATTTTCAGTGTCCCCTGGTGTGCACACAACCCAGAAAGTGACAAGCTGACAGAGCTGGTATAGAATGACTGGCTGCCCAGCCATTAGCCTCCTATAGCAAAAGCTCAAGCAAAAAAGAAATCACTGACTCCAGCACCATCCCTGCCATTAGATGGCACGCTGAATGTTGTCAGACCACAGGAAATGCATGTTCCCCGGCTGAGGGTCTCTCTTGAGCATGTTGTAAGCTCAAATTCCCAGGCAGGCATTATGGTACTTGGACATGATGGGAGAGGACCCAGAGAGAACCTGCTCAGGAAACCAGTCCTCAAGCATGGCAGGTGTCAAGTACCCCAGCACCAAGCTATCTAAACATGGACTAGTGGTTGTGCAGCTTCCTTGCCCCTGTGGACTGCCTCACATCATGTTAACTAAGCCATGTGTGCTTGGTTCTTAGAGATCCAAGTCAAGGTAAATCTTTCCAGTTATTCAAGTGCTCTTTGGTCTCGACACTTCCAAATTCAATATCAGTCCATTAACTACAGATCTTAGTGTTTGTAAATGCTCTGACAAAATTGTGGGTTTCAGTTATTTACTATGGTGCTGAAAATCACCCAAGGCATCTTTATAATCTTAAAAATGATCCAGTGAGGTGAGGAATATGCAGGCATGTGGCCAAAGCAGTAAAATCCTCTTGAATATTACACCACATGAACCAGAGGTACCTTGGCTGTACTCAAAATAAAAACCAGTCAGTTTTGTCACTTTTAACATAATGTAATCCATTAACTTTCATCACTGTTCTGGGTAAATAATATGTACGCAGGATATAACTGAAGAAATTGCAGACACATGTTGCTGTTACAACACTGATTGGAAACTGCAGCCCAGAGCATCTGAGCGTAGCAGGATTTCTGCATTCCCAAGATCTTCTCACTTCTGATGTAAATTCTCCGTCCCAAGGCTGCCTTTAACGCACACGAGGTTTGTGTACGTGTATATTATATATATATATCTCTATATAAAAATAAGCACGCTCACAGAATAATGAGCCCTAAGAAATTCACTCTCCCAGCACTCTCTTGGGAGGGTGAGGTTGCTGAACGCAGCTGTTTTCATGATTCACGTCCTCTAAAATCTACACTTTCTGTGCCTGGCCAGGTGAAAATGCCAGGTACGAAAGGGAAGCTTGTAAATCTGCTTAGCTGTTTCCTTCTGGTAAACTGCCCCTCTCTTCTTTACCTCTACCCAGAACTGGTTAATCACCAAGCACTTTGCGAGACTGAAGACCGGGAAGTACATGTCATTCCTCCTGCCTATAAATAACACCAGTCAATAAAATAAAGGCAAATAAAGGTAGTAAACGATATTTATTTCTAGTCTTATTTTATCCAGTGCACGTTTCTCTCAGAATTTCTGATGTGCTCCTCTAGCCAGGGCTGTCTGTGCCAATGCGACTGCAACCTCCCTCCCACCCCCCTCCATCCAGCTCATTATCCAGTGTCTGACAGAAGCAAACGCCAGCTGCTCTACAAAAAGGCACATGAAACGCTTCAGCAAGACATTAGAAAATCACCTGCCTATAAGGAAGGTTTTTTTTTTTTCCTCCTGTCACCATTACCAACAGACTGATACAAACGTCAAATTAAAAGGTCGACAGTTCTTCAAAAGTCTTGTTACTGTAGAAATGAATCCCATAACCACATCTGGATACTCTATTTCCATTCAAACACTCAGTGAGCCAGTGCTAAGGGGGCTGAATTTTTACCTTTGACCTTGTCCCTCCATGTTTTCTTTTTGTCCAGCATCTTTAAGGCCCTACAGCCAGTTGGCAGAAACAGGGACATCATCAATTTGAGACTTACATATCCTGTGGCTTTGAGACTCATATATTCTAGGGCTTTATGGCCATGGCACCTTGTGACAGCGAGTTTCACAGCTAACTGCAGCACAAGCAGGATGAGTTAATTTATTCATACATACCAACAAGGAATGCCAGCATAACCTGCATTATTTCGTTGGTAGCTCACAGCTGTCCTCAACACCATTTGATGACAAAGTAGACAAAAAAATTTCTCCTATTAGTCAAGTGTAAAATTCTTAAGTATAAATCTACCTTTGGAAGCTTCTGTGCCGAGTGGATTTTCCAAGAGGTCTGTCATATCTTGGTTCCAAGCATCCTTCACAGCAGACTTGGATATCTTCCTGTTGTTCAGGCTTTGCTGTGGTCGGAAGTTATTCCTCAGGTACTCCACGGACTTCACATGGTCTTGCTGTTCAGTAGTGAAGATGGAGTAGAATGCCTCCAGCTGATCGTAGCCATCATGGCAGGGGAGAGAAAGGACGTTGATTAGAAAAACAATGTGGTGAAATCTGGGTGGCTGATAAGACAGTAAAATGGGAGGAAGTAAAATGTTGATGCCAAGACTGATAAACTACATGGGAAGTCAGACTGCCCACTGAAATCTCTGCCAACCTCCTTATCTCGGCAAAGGGCTTATCCTGCCCGACATGGGAGAAGGCCTTCTAGCAACCTGGGGATGTCTGTCATGGACAAGGAAACATTTACCCTCAGAACCCTTGTCTGGAAGGATTTTGTGTGTGACACAGCCCTGCCAAACCCTCCTCACTGCTGGCACCGTCTCGTTTCACGGTATCGCGTCAAAAAGTTCTTCCAGATCATTCCACCCCAAGAGCTTTCTCCTGGACAAGGCAATGCTGCCTTATCTCCAAATACCTCACGAAGTTTAGCTGCCAGGCTAAGCTTCACAGACAGCTCGTGCAGCACTTTCAGGCACAGCTAGCATATACTCCTCTGGGAATAAGTTTCTTCTGTTGGATTCAGATCTGAGCTATTTATAAGAAAACATATTAACCTGTAAGAAAGAACTGTAATTGGAAAACTTTTCTGTTACTTCGTATCTTAGTATTTCTTAGAAAAAAAAAATTCTAGCAAACTAAGATGGAAATATTTTCAGCTAATGTTTTTCTCACAGCTATCAAGGTCGGTATAGCACTTACTATTACCTTGTTATCATTCAGGTCAGGAATTAGAATTGGTTATGTTGCTGCTGGAAAGACTGAGCAAGACAGAGCAGAGAAGGAATCAGTCCTGATAGTGTTTGCATCACATCAGTTACACATATCGATAGCACGGATTTTGGGAGCACAGAAGCTGGTCCAGGACTTCAAAAAGGGACTTGAGTTACATATATAGCTTAATGACAGGTCACTCTGAAAACGACACCCTTTTCATTAAGTGTGTCGGCTCTAAAAGCTGTGGAGAAGCACGTGAGCCCTGAAACCTAAAAACTCGGAAGAATGTGAAAACCATTTCCTAATTATTAGCAGGAGCCCCTCAAAAGCACTGAAGGGCTAAAAAGGGGTAAAGGCACTATTAACTTACATTTTTGTATTGAGAAAATAACCCCCAACAGATGATCCTGATATGCTCTTCTATAAAAGCACAGCTCAAAACTCTTATGCTTATTTACATACCTGTTGCACTTCATGCACTAGAGAAACAGTTTTGATGAAGCCAGCAAACAGGGTTTAAGGTGACTTTATAAAAGCTCAAGAACTTGGGTAGCAACTGCTTCTGTGAAGTCAAGTCTCTAGGCTTAGACATCTATGACATTAATTGAATTTTTTAAACTTTCAGAAAGAACTTTTTAAATATTTTCTTCTGCCATGCTACCTTAGGGAGGTATAATTGCATTTTAACAACTGCCAATTCAAACATGATTTTTTAACCTTCCCTTTTTTATGTGTTGAAGTATATATAAGTAATTTCAACCTCACTTTCACTATAAAAATATTATCTACGACAAATGAGAAACTAATTTATCCATAGCTGCCAGAAAAAAAAAATATTATAAGATCTGCAGTCAAGGAGCTACATTCATGCTCTTCAAGGAGTACAAGAGCTCATGTTCAGAAGAAGAAATTAAAAGCTCTTGTAAGACTACTGTAGATACAGGGAAACCTGATCTAAAACTCTGAGTCATGCAATTACAAACCATTAAACCCTGATGTGTAGCTTTCTAAGGGTTGCATATACAAATGGCAATTAAAAATACTGAAACTGTTATAAGCACAATGAGATACTCTGAGCTATGCATTATGAGAGATAATGCCATGCTTTGGGTCATTGAATGCACTTAGCTTTACAATGCATCTGCAGGGTGACACAGCTTGTACTGTTTTGTTGTCTAATTATAAGGAAAGATGATGATGATGGAGGACTGAGAATAAAACAGAGAAGCCTCCACAAATGGACCACTTCAGTACTGTCCTTTTTACAGCAAGGTATTTTGCACAAAAGCAAGGATTTAATTGGAACAGCAACAAAGCTTAAACAATATCACTTTCCTCCCCTGGGATTACAGGCTGCTTCACGGGGTTTGTGATAAAGAAGGTTAAACTATGGCAATGGATTATGTCGCACTGTTTCTGTTAGAGGAAAAAATAATAATCATAGCAGTGGCAGGGTGGCAGGCTCTTAAAATACACACATCTCGAGCTGCCAGGGGGGAAAGAATACTATTATTTATTCCACATGTGTTATAGTATCAATGAAAGTCTGTCTACACACAGAATTCCCAGCCCTTCAACCACACACACATGCACAGAGCAGCACAACGCCAAATTTTAAAGGCTTAAGTTGGCACAGATACTGCTGTACAGCACGGGAAAGGAGCTAAGCCAGGATAAAGTACCTTTATAACGATGGCCATAATTGGTATTTACCAATTTATTTGCATTTGTTAAAAAAGAAAAAAGAAGTCATGACCCACCTGATGCACACACAGGGTATAAAACTGAGTGTGGGCCAGGCCTCGCAGCCACCAAATAATAAACAGTAAACTTATTGATGTAGTGAAAAGCTACAGGGATTGCAAGTATCCTGCAGGCAAGGACGGAATTCAAAATGATCTCGACAATCAGAGAAATAGCCTGAAAAAAACAAAGGGTCCGATTCAAACGGGACCATGTGCAGAGTCCCAGGCTCCAGCCAGAACCGGGGGCTGCCTGGGGGCACAATGTGCTCAGCACTGCCAGAGAGTTCCAGGGGAAGCCTCCAGCAAAAGGGTTCCTGCTGACCAGGAGCTGAACACGGGCACTACCGTCATGTTTTTGTGAAACACCAGGACAGGTGGCTGGAGACATAGATCCTGCCATGTCCCTCAGCCCCTGGAGGGCCCCAGCTGAAGCACTGTGACACAGCCTGTCAAAAAAAAGATGAAAGAGTCTACGGGAGAAGCGACGTGATCTAGAAAACATGTTAAAAAAAACCCTGGAGCAGGAGCGTGGCAATTACCTTCTATACTTATGAACCTTTGAGCACAGTATCTGTCAGTCAGGATCACCCAGTGAACTGTCCATTTGTGCTTCACAGAATTAGTGTATGTAAAAAGTTTGTTTTCAGTGGCTTATGCCAGATAAATAAAAGGCAAGACTAACTCCAGCAGGTTGACTTTCTAAAGACAACAGTCTTACAATGCCAAAATGCACTGAACTGGTAAACATTTGACTCCATCTAGCCATTGCTTTATCGGGAGCATTCTTCAAACTCCAGACATTGTGTCTATTTGCATTAAAAGCTGCTATGTGCTAATTTTAAAGATTTGTGCACCAGCTCTCAGAGCACATAATGGCAGCTTTACTGTGTTATAAAAACAGTTAAGCATGGAGAATTAATGGAAAGATGTCTTTTCTAACGTAATTAGTTCAAATTACTAAATCTGAGCAGAACTGAAATCGCTCACTTTACTTTGAAAAGAAAGTTTCAATTAAAAAGAATAAAAAGGAACTCCATGTAAATATTTATACCATAGCTTAATTTAATCTTAGCAAAAACAATACCAAATAAATCACTGAAAGGAAACTGGGTTTCATGTTGTACTGTCTTCTCGAGACTGATGGCTCATGTTCAGAAACAATATTGCTAAAGAGAATAAAAAAAATAAATCACCGACACTTCCTTTTTTGTCAACAGAAATATTTGTGTTCTCAAAATTAAACCAGCAGGTTTTGAAAACGCTGTCTTAAGGAGGGCAAATCAAGAGATGGACTTCACTAACAGAATAAACACACCTGATGGTAAGAAATGGGAACAGGCTTCCGAAAAACGATCCACTCCACGATCTCACTGCACGGAGGAGTAGTCAGGGAACCTGTGTAGCGGTAGTAGCTCCCCAGCGAAGTTGGCAGAAGTTCCCTCAGCACAAAGGGATCCAGAAAGGTCTCCTTCTCTGTGGGAAGATTGACAAGTGGAATTACACTTTTTTTTTAACGTGTCTTTAAAACAGACATCACATTGCTAGGCAGCCTAACAAGGTGTAATGGCAACAACATATTTTATCATGTATGTAATGAAAGATGGGAACACCCTACCAGAAAGGCTGCGTAAGAGCTGATGCGTGGATTATTAAAAGAGCAGCCAAAATGCTAGTCAGACCCACACCGAACACACACCCTCCTGTTTTGAATGTGTGCAGGTGTGAAATGCACTTGCTATCCCACTGGTTTATGCTAGCATAGGCATAATACTGTATTTCAGCACTCAGTACACAGCTCTTCAGCTTGATGGCAGCGAGGGTTCACCAGGACCCAGTGGGACACAGCCAGGCCCTAGTGGTCCTGCTTGCTGCTGCCCGACCAAAGAGCATCAGGCAGTGTATCCATCCCATCTCTGCCGCTGGGGGATGCAGGAGCAGGGTCAAACCCTCAGTGGGTTGCTCAGATGGAGGAGGCAGAGCCATGCTGCTCAGCCAAACTTCTCTGGGAGCTTCCAGGCAGATGAGCTGAGGAGCAGGGATACAGGGCAGCAGGGCATGCCTGAAGCTCAACATGGTGCTCAAAGCAACATCCACCCAGTGCTCACGCAGGACTGCCTGCACCCAGCCACACAGGCATTGCCAGGGTGCTGCCAGACACAGTCAGCACAGCACCAGGAATATGTTTCAGAGGTAAAACTGCTGCCTCTTCTCTGAAATCCAAGAAACTCCTTCCTAGAGTCCAACAGTCTCAGGGACAAACCCTCTCCTCTGAGAAGCTCCCTGGACAGCTTGAAATGCAGACCTAAGCACTGGAAGCATTTACCTTCAAGTAACAATGACAAGCTGGTAATATTTAACAGTGCGAAGAAAAATAAGTAAACAAAAGAAGGGAACAGCTACAGGCAAGACTATTTCCCTGCCATCCCTGAGCATTTATCCTCTGCAATTTATGTTGACTCACAGGCTGAAGCACCCTCTCAGTCTGTGCAAAGGTGCTCACTGCCTCCAGGCATGCTGACATGCCAGGCTCTACATCTCTATTCCTCACTTTCGGTGTGCCTCCAACAGGAGCCCACGTTTGGGTAAAGGGAACTCTTCTGTCTCGCCACTGCTGCTAAGCAAACCCACCAGCCCCCCTCCCCGCCCCAACAAAGTGGAGAAGCAGGTAGGCTGGTGATTGACACACACATCTTCCAAAAAGGATGAAGTCTGCAGAATTCACTTCCCCAGCATCCCACAGTTCTCTAGAAGTCTTGATCAAATCAGGAGTTGCCTATACCTCTGAGCAGCAGTCTGATAATCAGGGATTTTTTACCTCCACTGCTGCTGCAAAGTGCCAATGATACATGCACTTCAGATATCTTCTATTTTCTGCATAGTATCAACAGGTGTGCAATGTTTTCATAGCCTTTAGCATTCAAAAATATGAGTAATTCTATTAAAGTCAAGGCAGTACTGCAATCTCTTCATTAACAACTCCTTTCCTCCTAATCCAAGTAGATTTCAACCACTTCTGCATCTCCAAAAAGGAAACAAACAAATAATAAACCACAATTTTTCCTCATCATAACATACCTCTGGGGAAAAAAAAAGTGCTTAAATAATAAATACTAAAATATATATGATTGGCCAAAGTTCAAAGAGATTCTAATCAAGAAGTCATAATCACAGCAAAAGGTCGTATTTAATTTGATTGGCTCATTTTTATGCAGCAAAACTCGGTTAGAAGAAGTACAAACTCAGTCACAGGACTTGATTTCCAAGTGCAGCACGCACACCTCGACACCAGCTTTCTGTTTCAGAAGCTGCCTCTCTCTGTATGGGAGCTGAGCACACAGTGGCCACGATGAATCCAAAAGAGCATTTGAACATGTGAACATCCTCTTTGCATTAACAGAAAATGACTGTACATGAAGCAGATGGGAGGCAGAGGCACATTTTGAAAAGTGTTCTCCTCTTGAGTTTAAGAAAAAAAATGTTTCAGTTAAAATTAGCAATTTAACTATTTTAAACTTTTGTAATCTTTTATTTAGACTGATGGAATCACTTAAAATGCTGGATAAACACTGTGAGAAACCACGAATATGGAGCACCCTTTTGTCAAAGGATGGCAGGAGAAGGAAGCTCATTTTACACTTTCAAGGATTTTTGTGCCATATGCTGACAATATTATATTTTAATAATTAATTGTTCATCAAAGGAAAAGATGAAGAACAGGGATGCTAAATTCAAAGTTATTCAAATTGCAAAAATGAATAATGCATGACTTTTATATTAAATACACACTGTATTAAGTAGTCTACATTTCATCCAACTCTGTCTTTCATTTTTAAACATTTTGAACTACAATATGAATAATCAACTAAGGGAAGCTTATTTAGACAGAGAAATACCTTATTTGAATGCAAACTGGAAGTATCCGACTATGATTAATTTTTGGTTATCAATTAGGAAGGGTTTTTTCCTAAGCATTTAAAAAGTCATCGACAACTGTGAAAAAGAGTATTTCTTGAGGAAAAAGTAGCTTTGCTAATATACAGTTTAAGTAGGGCAGGGTGTACTCGATCTAATTTTTCATGGCTACAAGCAATGCTCTAAGTTTTCATTAATGAATTCCAATGATTAAAATAAAAAAATACATATAATTGGATTAAATTACTACTGAAATAGATGATAATCAATTGATTATGCTTTAATAACTTAACACTTTTGAAAACAGATCATTCATTTATATCGCTGCCATCTAGATGCATGGTGCAAAGTTTTAGAAATCAGTCACAAAGAAATCTTCACCTAAAGCTTAAAGAGACTGAGAAATTCAGGAGTCTACCTGCCATATCCTTCAAGAGCATATAGAAACCATAAATGCCATGAAGTTAAGTTCCTAAGAGCTTGAGACAGTTTCAAAAATGAGATTTTGAAGTCATGTCACTCTAAAAATTTCAACCTTAAATCATTTATTGTTGTTGGTAAAACTGTAAGGAGAATAATTTCCAGGCTAAGCAACAGCATTCACTGGATATCACAGTATTTCATATATATATTCACACACACATATGTGTGTGTACATATATATATATATATATATAAAATTTCTACTAAATGAGAAAGAACAAGGTTGGAAATTAGTAACAAACCTTTCTTCACTGTCTTTTATGACCAGCTCCTGTTTCCACTTACAGTGCTTAAGGTGGGCACAAACTGTGCCCAGAAGGCTGTGAACAGACTGAGCGGGGAGAGGAATTTCTAGGAGGGAGAAAGTGGATAAGGCTGGAAACCATGATTGACAAGACAGCATTTGCAGACAGGTACAAGGAAATAACTAGCAGACAAAAGCAATAAAAGACACCAAAGTCAACATGTGTTCATCTGCAAATACCTGTGAACCTCTGCAATCAATGCTGCAAAACCAACCCATGAGCCACCTACTCATTCTCAAACACGAACCAGAGCCCTGCACCAAAGTGGTCTCTTCTGCTGCTCCTTGTCCTACTCCCATCTCAGCACCTGAGCACCCAAGCAGACATATAACCAACCAGGAAAGCAGAGCCCCAGAGACAGGGACCCTGAAGACAGGCCCTCCAACTAGGGAGCATTCCTCTGGGAAAGAACAATGAACCTGCTGCCACCAGTGTCCCAGGTGATGCTGCTCTTTGCTGCATAATGCAGACAATCTTATCCACAGCTAACAAACAGCAATGCTTTGTTTACAGCACCAATGCTTGGGAAAACGTGTTCACTCTAATATCCCCAAAGGTAAAAAAAGCAAGCACCACAGATTTGCTGTTGACCAGTAAGACAATGAATGTGACATTTAAACTACTGAGTGTTTCACAGCATAAAAGGACAATATTGTATTTCAACACTTACAATCACAAAAAACAATTAGCCAGTTGATAACATATTTGACCTTCTGATACAACATTCACATCTACCTCTTGGTCCTTCTCCCACAACAGCAGTGTGAAAAGTCACACCCAGTATATTCTTTATTCGGGCTGAGAAATCCCCCCTGGTGTTTGCATGGGACAAAGGGCCATTTTCTGTACAACCCACCCCAAAGGCAGAGCAATTGCAGGCATGCTTTAGAAGGCTGACTTATTTATACTCCTTGTCAAGTCATTACCACTAGAATGAACTAATAAATTGTGCACAATAGTTTTCTGAGCAGAGGAAAAATATCAGATCTTAAACCAGATATCAGTAGTGGATCTTCACCAACTACTGCAGTTTTCACAAGCTGATGCCACCAAATATTATACTGCAAGAGCCATCAGTGGAACATTTTGCCTTCAAGGACTGACTTGCTAGAAATAGATTCTGTAAATTGCTGGATAAAGATAGACCTGAATTTTAACCAAATCACTGTAGAGCAAGAGGCTTCTTGAGATATGCAGGTAAACAGCACACAACTATCTGTGATCAAAACCCTTTTAAATCTAACAGGAACTTGGATTGGACATCACAAGAAAATAACTATATGCCAAGTCCATTTATATCTCATGGAACGCTTTGGGACTTTCATCGTACTTTTCTGTAAGAAAACAGGAACTTGGCTGCATTGAAAACAATATCTTAAAATGAGCTTATTTCCAAAATTAACGTATGTGCAGTGCCTGATAGGTGGAAACGTTACCCAGTTACACTTTGAATAACTGAAATCTGCAATACCAATATGAAGAGCTTTGAAAGTCTCCCAAATTTGTTAAACAATGTTACTGCCAATTTCATTTTCACAATGAGCCAAGACATTCTAAAGCTTCTGCATTCAAACATTTAAAAAGCAAACACACAAAAATAATCAAAAGGACACCGTGTCGCACACCCACTGAGCCAGAACTCCCCAGATAAAGCAGGATGCACAGCACAGCCAAGGGCCAGATTCATGGGGGAGATTTCAAAGATGAGATTACAAATATTATATATTACTTTAACTGAAAAGATCAGCAGATGAGTGCTTGCTGTGTGAATCC